TTCCATCAGCAGAAATGATAAGAAACACAATAAATGATGGCCCAAGTGAGAAGGATTCACATAATCCAGGCAGGGAGGGTTTTTTGGGGTGGATTTCCTTGGATTCAGGGGCTGGACTGTAACTCCAAGATTCCCCAAAATCAACAAAGCAGATTTTGGCAGCAATCTTACCCTGCATGGAAATGCCCCAAAACAATGTCCAAAGGTAAAATCAGCAGCAGGGAGGTGGAAATCAAAAAGAAAACTGTCTAATGATGAAATAGGACAGCAAGTTTAATTCCAGTTTTAAGTGTTGTCTTAAAATAATCTGTAAATCAATTTTTTCCAAATCTTTGGAATTCTGCAAGTGTTTGTTTGTTTGTTTTGAGATGGTTTTTAATCAGCAAATCACAATTTATCCCAAACTTCTGGAATTGTGAGAGGTTTTTCCGAGGTTTTTTAATCTGCAAATCACAATTTATCCCAAACTTCTGGAATTGTGAGAGGTTTTTCCGAGGTTTTTTAATCTGCAAATCACAATTTATCCCAAATCTTTGAAATCCTGTGAAAGGTTTTTTTTTAGGTGTTTTTTAGGGGTTGTTTGGGGGGTTTTGTATATTTTGGCCTTATAAAAATTGCTTTCTGCTGTCCTTTAGGGAAACATAAAGACAAATATCACAAAAACTCGAGAATAAATGACTCCATGGAAGTCTTTTAAAGCAGCAGCGACAGAAGTGGCAGAGCACAAACCCCCAGGTTTCCTCCCTCCCTCCTCATAAACTTGGCCTTTTTTTGTGCCTTAAAACTAAGCCAGTTTCTTCCTGATTCAAAACCAGTCATAAAAGCAAAAAATTAACTCCTAAGCCCCAGATAAGCTTGTTTGACTTGCAGCTCAGGCAAGAGGCAGGGATGTATTAATGCCTCTCACTGAGCAGCCTTTTATCTTTCAAAAATCTTAAAAATTCAGGCAAAGCTGCCTTTGGTCCCAGCTGCACAATTATTTCTGTTCCAAAGCTGGCTCCTTTTGCTCTAAGTGTGTCAAAAATTCCTTTGCAGGCAGCCTGGAGCAGCACAGGGCACTGGGAATTCCATCCAGGCTCACAAACCTCTCCTGTTCCCAGGCTAAACCAGCTGGGCCAGCCTTTCCATGGGGAGATTTGGGAGGAAATGCAATAAATAAGGGGCATTTTCAGGCAAAAAAAGAAAAAAAAAGTGTTTTTCCCTGGTTTTGGAATGACTTGGGCATGCTTTAGTGAGCTGGAAGCCTCTTCAAAGCAGGTCACAGGTTCTCAGGGAAGAAATTGAGGAGCTGGCAGCAGAACTTCCCAGGAATGAGGAGCTTTTAGTTCCACAACACATCAGTGACTCGGAAGTTTCAAAGCCTGGGCTCTGGAATATTTCAAATTAGGGAATGAAGCCTGAGCTGCTCCTGAACTTATCAGAGTTCCACGGCTTGCACAAGGTGGGACAGAGATGCTCCTCCTACCTGGCCATCCACACCGTGCCTGGATGCACCAGGAAGGAGCCAATTTATTCCCACCAAAGCCTTCTTAGAAACATTTAAAATCCCACATTTCCCCCTAAAAAGGGGAGGAGAAATTTGTGGAGATGCTACAGAAATTTAAATTTACCTGCTTCACTTGCTTTGTAACATATTTTTATCACAGCTTAACGATATCCAAGATTTTTAAACTTAAAGCAGCCTTGGCTGCACTAAAGGCAGGGAGAGAAAAGCCCTTTGCTACTTAAGTTGCTTTTAAAACTTCACTTCCACCTTGCCAGGGAATCCTAGGATACATTTTAAATAATATCCTGAAGCTCACACTTCAGGCAGTTGATTTTTACAAGGCCAGAGGAGTCAGAGCAGGAATTTTTACCCAGCAGCTCCTTTTGCAAAACCAGGTCTGATTTCTTCTCTTTTGTTAATTAAACAGCACAAAAAGGTGAACAATTAAAAAGGAAGAAATTCCAGCCAGGAACTGAGTTCCTACAAAAAGCTGGGCAGAGCCATCCATTTCAGCCTTAAAATCCCAGAGATTTTCATGGATACAAAGAACCAGGTGCATTCCCGATTTCTGCCCCACTCACATCCCTGGAGGAGGTCACAGGACAGGTGGGAAGGAATGAAGAGAGGGAGCTCTTTCCTTCAGGCTGAAACCTTTGGGATAAAAGGATTAAATCCACTTCCTAAAAGCCAAACAGCTCCTGTGAATCAGATCCATGAAATCCAGGGGTTAAAGCAGAGCAGAAAAGTTCTGGAGCAGGGTCTAAGGGCAGGCAGGAACAATGAGGAGAGCGAATGGGAATAGTGCTGACAGGACAGGTGAGGAGAGAACGGCAGCACAAAAAGATTTAGGGAACAAAGAACTGCAAAAACAGAGGCAAAGCAGAAACCAAGGGCAGGAACCAACATGGGGGAAAACATGGAAGAGCAGCGACAGCAGGAGCAGGAAATCAAATTCCTCAGGACCCAGGAAAAGGGAAAACACAGAGCACTGAAAGGATGAACTTGAGTGCAGCCCTGATTGGAATTCCAGTTGTTAACAGTGTTAATTAACCAAAATCCTCATTTCTCTGCCATCCTTAGGGAGATCTGAGGTGGAGGATGCCCAGGGAACTCAGCAGATCTCAGGGTAGCCTTTAACCCACACTCAGCTGCCCTGGGGGATCAGTTTGGTGGTGAGAAGCATTTCCAGGAGCTGGGTTTGAAGAGGAGCTCAGAGAGGTCCAATGGGGAATGTTCCCCACGGATTTGTATTTGGGACCTGCAGGGAAAAGCAGCTGCAGTTTGTTTTCCCAGCACAGCTGATTTTCCTACAGCTCCTTCCTGCAGCTCTCCCCCAGCAAATGCTGAGTTTGAGTTCTCAGGACCTCAGGAAGAGACAAGCAGCAGGGTTATACCTGGATCCAGCAGGATTTGGGATAATCCCACTCAAAAGACTGGTTTTGGATCAGCAGTTCGGCAAAGAGCTGTCCTGATAAACTGAGACCCTTTCCCCGAATCCAGGCAAATCTCAGGAAGAATTCACACCCTGGAGGTGCTGCTCTTCCTACAGCTCTGAGGAGACTCACCTGAGAGCTGACCCTGCAGGTGACAGACCCCAAACTCACCTGAGAGCTGACCCTGCAGGTGACAGACCCCAAACTCACCTGAGAGCTGACCCTGCAGGTGACAGACCCCAAACCCATTCAGAACTGATCCCATGGATAACAGACCCCAAACCCACCTCAGGGCTGCCCCGCACGTGCACCTGCTGCTGCTGTGCGGTGCCCAGGCTGTGTCCCCGCGGGTCCCCCCGTGCCCCCCTCACCTCCGAGGGTCTCCTGCCAGGCTGGGCTCCTCCTGCTGTGCCCCCGGGCCGCGGCTGCTGGCGCTGTCCCTGTTCCCGCTGCCTGCCGAGGGGGGACGGTCAGAGCCACCGCAGCCCTGGCCGCTGTCCCGCCCGCCCAACACCCCCCTCCGATCCCCCGACACCCACCCTCAGCTCCCCAAAGCCGGGCGCGCCCCTTCCCATTCATTATCCCAACGAAACGGGGGGGAATTCATTGATTCCCCCGCTCTCCCATCCCCGAACGCCCTCCAGCCTCCCCCCCGACCCCCTTTGAAAAGCGCGCCGGGCCCTCCCCTCCTCTCCCCGCCGCGCACCCCGGGGCTGTCCCGGGGCTGCCCCCGCTCCCCGCTCTCCGGGGCCGCCCCCGCCCCGCGCTTCCCCCCCCGCTCCCCGCGCCGGGCCCGGGCCCGCCCCCCCTCCCCGGCGCTAGGCCGCGGCGGCGCGGGCGGCGGCTCACCGGTGTCGGGGGGCGGCGGGGACCCGGCGCGGTGCGGGGCGCGGCGGGGGCGGGCCGGGGGCGGCGGGGGCCGGCGGGGCCGGCGGGGCGGCGGCGGCAGAGCGGGACGGGGCGGCGGAGCGGCCTCTACTCGCGGCGGCGCAGGGCGGCCATGGCGTGACGTCATCCGCGCGCGACGGGCCCCCGGCGGCGCGAGGCGAGGGGCGGGCCGGGGGAGGGGGAGCCCGCGCTCCGCTCGCCCCGCCCCGCCTTAAAGGGGCCGCGCACGGCGGGGACGGAGCGCAGGTGTGCGGACAGGTGGACATGTGGACAGGTGGACGTGCGGACAGGGGCTGTGTGCAGCACGTGGAGGGGCAGGGAGGTGCCAGGTTCCGCGCACACGAGCGGCTGGACACACGGGGGCACACGCGCGGCTCCAGATGTGCACAGGCTCTCCGCGCGCACAGGGACGGGGCACGCGCGTGCCGCGGAATCAGGGAATATTTAGGGTGGAAGGGAGCTCCGGCAGGGACACCTGGAGCAGGTGACACAGGAACACGTCCAGGTGGGCTTGGAATGCCTCCAGAGACCCCAGACCCTCCCTGGGCAGCTGTGCCAGGGCTCTGCCACCCTCCATGGACAGAGCTTCCTCCTCACGTCGAGAGGGAATTCCTCGTGGTTTAGTTCGTGGCCATTGCTCCTGGTCCTGGACAGCGCTGGGAACAGCCTGGCACCGTCCTGTGCCAGCCCGTGGAGATATTTATACGGATTGATGGGATCCCCTGTCAGCATTCCCTTCTCCAGCGGGCCATGCCCAGCTCCCGCAGCGCCTCCTCAGCAGGGCGATGCTCCAGACCCCGGCTGGGGCTGGCTGGGCAGGAGGGGAGCGGCCGGAGGGAGGAGGAGTCTCTGTGACAGGTATATAAGGTGAGGTGAGGCTCAGGAGGATGATCCTGGGAAGAAGAGCTGGTGTTTGTTGGAGGTAAGGGAATGGGGGATCTCCACTGGAGCTCCCCACCATGAGGCTCCTGGCTGGAGATAGCCGTGGGTCAGCAGGGCTGGGGGTGCTCCCATGGGTGTCTCTGGCTCCCAAAGCCCCGGTTGCCCTCTCCGAGGTCCCAGAGCCCAGGCCTGGCCCAGGGCTGGTGTGTCACCTTTGCTCCAGCGCTGACTCAGGCTCCCACGTGTCCCTTTATGCAAGAGCTGTGCTGGCAGGGGACTCTGGCCGGGCGGCCACCGCTGGCCTGGCCCTGGCCAAAGGGCAGGACCAGCCCCTCTAAAGGCAGCGGTGACAGAGCTCAGGCTCAATTCTGTCACCGGAACTGCCAGTGGGGATATTGGAGCAGACAGGAGCTGAAAGGAGTGGAAGATCCCCTGGAGCTGAGTGGAACGTGCTGGTGGGAACAGGTTTTGAGTGGACAGGAGCTGACAGGGACCTCTGTCCTTCCTCCCACAGGCTGCTCTGTGCTCCCTGGAAGATGGATTACGCCAAATCCCTGAGCCAGCGCCTGGCTGCCCCCGTTTCCAAGTAAGTGCCACGGAGCCCCTGTCCCCAGGATTGGGGGGACATCCCAGCAGAGCCCTCCCTGGGTGCTGGCACTGCCAGGGGGTTTTGCTGGCTCTCAGAACATCCCAATCCCTGCACCCCTTCCCAGATGTGTCTCTGCCAGTGCCTCCATGACCCAGCAGCTGCTGGCTGGCCCGGCCCCACCGTCCCGGCCCTACCGCGTGTGCAACTGCGACCGCAGCCTGCGCAAGGGCGTCATGGCCCCGAGCCTCGCCGAGCTGCTGTGCCAGGTCTGTCTGTCTGTCCGGGCTCTGTCTGTCTGTCCGGGCTCTGTCTGTCTGTCCGGGCTCTGTCCCCAGCCCTGCTCACCCCCAGCCCCTCGGCAGGCTCAGAGCGCCCTGGCCCTGCCGGCGCCCGTCGTGCTGGTGCTGGATGAGGATGGCACCGCCGTGGAGACAGAGTCGTTCTTCCGGACGCTGGAGGAGGGCACGGCGCTGATGGCCCTGAGCAAGGGACAGACCTGGACTGCCCCCAAGGTGAGGGAAGCCCTGAGAGGGGCGGGAGGCTGTTTTTTCCCCGTCTGTCCCACGCTGGAGGTGGGTGACCGTGGTCCCGCTCTTCCCTAGACACGTGGCTACCAGGTGAGTCTGTCCCGCAAGCCCCCGCGCAGGATCGACGTCGCCTGCATCACCTTCGACCTGTACAAGACCCACCCAAAGGACCTGGGCTGCCTCAACGTCAAAGCCACCCTGTATGGCACCTACAGCATGTCCTACGACCTGCGCTGCTACGGGGCCCGGCGCCTGGTGAAGTGAGTGTGGGGACAGCCCGGGGACAGGGACGCTGCCCAGCCCTTCCCTGGCACGCTGACCCCTTTCTCCCCGCCCAGGGAAGCCCTGCGCTGGGGGCTGTTCACCATGCAGGCCACGGGCCACGTCCTGCTGGGCACCTCGTGCTACATGCAGCAGCTCCTGGATGCCACCGAGGAGGAGCAGAAGGAAGAGGAGAAGAGCCCGCTGCCCCTTCAGAACCTCCTGCCCTGCAGCCTCCCCGCCCTGCCCTACAAGAAGATGTCGCAGTGAGGGTTGGCTGGCCTGGCCTGTCCCCTCTGCTGTCCCCCCAACCTCGGGGGGTCCCAGCACCCCGCTAGGTCAATGCCTGGGCCGAGGCTGCCGCGGTGCCTGGCACAGCCTCTCCTTGCACTCTGCTGGCTGAGTGTGGCCAAATCTGCTCTGGAATAGATGCTGCTCTGTAAATATATTTATTTAAGTAAAGTTCTCCCGAATTCAGCTGCATTTTGTGTCATGTTTCTGGGGGGGAATGACACCCAGCACACCCAGCCCTTGCACTACTTGGCACCCTGAGCTGGTGCTGTAAGAGGTGTGAGGAGGGGACCTGTCGCAAGCTCTTCCCCAGGGGAGCTGCTGCCTCCATCCTCCTCCTCCTCCTCCTCCCTGGCACCAGAGCCCTGCTCCCACCCCCTGGCACAGCGCCGAGACGCTGCTGGCACTGCAGGCACCCACAAGAGTGATGGGGCAAAGCCTGGAGCCCCTGCCCTGTGGCAGCTGGCACCACGCCTGTCCTCGCTCCCTGTAAAGGGGTGAAAGCTCTCCCTGCCCCCTGTGCCCCTGCCGGTGCAGGGCTGGCACAGAGGGACAGCCCCCGTGCCCTGGAGGGGGTGTTCCTGTCCCTGGGGTCCCCAGCCCCGTTGGCAGCCCTGGGCAGGGCTGTGGTCGCTGTGCCCATGCCAGCCTTGCACAACGCCTGGCGCTGGCCTGGCGGGGGCATCATCCAGGGGCATCCCGAGGGCCCGGCAGCTCCAGAGAGAGCAGCTGGGAAACAAACAGAGCTGGGGGCACTGAGCTCCAGCGACCTGGCCCTTGGGGACTGTCCCCAAGTGTGCAGGGGGAGCCTGGAACGATCCTGAAGCATCACCCCTGCCACGGAGGGTGGGAGGGAGGGGAACAACCTACTGCCCACCTGTGCTGGACTGGGAATACTGGGAAGCACTGGGATGAACCGTGGGGTGGTGACAAGCCATGCTCTGGGGGTCCTGAGGGCCATCCTCCCCTGTCACGCTGTGGGGGACACCTGACCTGAGCCCCACTGCAGGGTCTGGAGCTGCAGCGCAGGGACTGCTCAGGTGGCAGAGAGCTGAGCCCCACCCGGCGCTGTGGGGCTTAATTAGCTTGATAATTAATGAGCCGTCAGCACCAGCTGAGCTCCATCTGGGAGCAGCGACTTTGCCCCGTGGCAGGGACGTGTGACTTCCCTGGGCTGCCGAAGGTTCCACCCAGGGGACAGCGTGGGGACACCGTGCCCTGCCCCGGGATAACCGCTGTCACCCACGGCTGTCCGATGTCCCCACGGCCCCGGTGGCCGTGCCAGCCCCCGCAGCGTCCCCCACCCCACACAGGTGTTTAGCAGACATATTTATTTCTGTACACACTTATACACACAGTTCCCAGTGCTGGCTCCGTGCGGGCTCCGCCCTGCGGTGGGGGCACCCCCAGATTTCCTGGGGTGCTGGGGCCAAGCCCGTGCCCCCCACAGCCCCACCGCAGCCCCGTAGTGTCTACCTGGGGGAAAAGCCCCCTGCAGCCCCCAGGGCAGGGCCGTACACCATCCCCCTGCCTCAGTTTCCCCCCGGGGCACAGGTGGGGGCTGACCCCCCACCACCAGGGTCCTCACCCCCAACACGGGTGAACTTTGGGGCTCCAGATGCCAAAGCTGCCCCGGTGGAGCCTCCCGGGGGGGGTCCTCCATCACCCCGACCCCTGCACGGAGTGGGGGGGTGTCAGGCACAGGTTCCATCCCCCAGCCCCTGCAGCCTCCCGAGAGGTGCTGGGGGGCTCTGGGGGGGTTACTTGACGTGCTCGGCGGCATGGGAGGAGCAGTAATACTTCTTGTGGGCGATGAAGGTGGACAGGCTGCTGAACTTGATGTTGCAGAGGCGACAGTACCTGTGGTTGCCGTTGGGCACCGGGCCGGGCACAGCCTTGGCCGGGGGGGTCTGCACCCCCCTGTCCGTGTAGGCGGGGGGCGTGGGGGGCTTGCGGGCGGCTTCCCGCAGTCCCTCGGGAGCTCCGGGCGAGGCGGGGGCCCGGGGGGAGCCGGGGGGCCGGGGGCTGTCCCGGCCCTCCTTGGCGGTGAGGCTGTCCCGGCGCAGGCGGGGGCCGGGCGGGCGAGGGGGGGACGCCGCGGGCAGCGGGGGCTCGGGCGTCCTGCTGCCACCGGGGGCCAGCGCGTCCGGGAGCCCCGGCCCGGCCCCCGCCGGCGGCTTGGCCACGAAGAGCCCGTGGGCGTTTCGGAAGTGCTCCAGGAGGTCGCCCTTGATGGCCCCGTTGAGGGGACAGTAGGGACAGGCGGCGAGGGGACCCTTGGTCCCCGGAGGCGGCAGGGGACACTTGGGGTGACGCTGCAGCGAGTCCGCCCCGGGGTAGGGGATGCCGGGGCTCCCCGCCGGGGCCGCCCTCACCCTCACCCCTCCTTCGGGGTCCCCCTCGCCGGGGCTGCCGGGGCTGTGCCGGCCCTTGAGGGGGGCGGCCATGGCCCCCTTCATCTTCTGCAGGTGCTCGAGGGTGCGGGGCTGCAGCGGCGTGGCCGGGCACTGGTACTTCTTGTGCGCCAGGTACGCGTCCAGGCTGTTGAAGCTGATGCGGCACGCGGTGCACTCGTGGTAATCGGCGAGGGGCAGCAGCGGGGCCGGGGCCGGTGCCGGTGCCGGTGCCGGTGCCGGCTCGCTCTGCCACCGCGGCTTCTTGCTCAGGTCGATGGGTCCCTCGGCGTCGGGGCTGGCGCGGGGCTCGGCGGCGGGCGGCTCTGCGGGCGGGGGCTCCGGTGCCGGCGGGGGCTCGGCGGGGCGGCGAGCGGTGCCGTGGATCTCGTAGAGCTTGCGGCGCTTGCGGGTGCGCAGCGGCTGCGGCACGAAGGGCACTTTGGGGGCGGCGGGGCGGCGCACGGGGGGGTCGTGCCGGGAGGCGCAGTAGAAGCGCTTGTGCACCACGTAGGTCTCGTGGCGGCTGAAGCGGATGTTGCACGCCTCGCACAGCGTCTTGCTGGGGTCCTCGTCCCCATCGTCCCCCGCCGAGCTGCCGGGGCTCTGGCTGTCCTCGCTGCACCGCCCCGACCCCCCCTCCGCCTCAGGGGACCCCGCTTTGGTGCCCCCCTCTTCAGCCTTGCCCTCCTGCGCGGCGGCTGGCGGGGTGGCATCGCGCCCGGCGTCCCCGTCCCCCGCTGCCGGGCCCTGCCCGTTCCCCGCCGGGGGGGACAGCAGCGTCCCCTTGGGCGCCCCGGGGGGGGCTTTGAGCTTGCGTGCCCCGGGGGGACTGTCCTCGGCCAGGTGCCGGCTGGAGCAGTACAGGCGCTTGTGCACGTAGTAGTTGTTGATGTTGTTGAAGGTGATCTCGCACTCGAAGCAGGTGGCCCCCTTGGGCACCGGCGTGCCCGTGTAGATGGCGGGTGGCACCGCGCCCCCGTGGCCCTGCTTCAGCCGGCTGTGCACCAGCTCCGACATCTTCGCCAGGATCTCCGACGCCTGCGGCACCACCGTGGCCTCGTGGCCGAACACGTACTGCGGGAGGAAGACGGTGCCGCCCGCCGTGCCCGTCCCCGGCTCGCTGGGCACGGGGCTGGAGCCCGGCGTGGGGCTGGCGAGCTCCGACTTGACCTTGGCCGAGGACAGGCTGCGAGGGGACGAGGTCCGGGAGCCGGCGTCGGGGCTGCCGGTCCCCTCCCCGCTCTTCGGCGCCTCCGCCTCGCTGCCCGGGCTGCCGGCCGGCTCCTCCTTGATGCGCACGGGCTCGCCGGACGCGGAGGAGGAGGAAGAGGAGGAGGAGGAAGCCGATGAAGGCCCTTCCCCGTTCTGCGGCTGGGCTGGGGGTGAGAGTTTTCCGGCCCTGAGGTCGGGGGGCGAGGCGGGCGGTGCCGGTAGCGGTGCGGGGTCGGGGCCGGGCAGCACCACGTGCTGCGGCAGCGCCGGCAGCGCCTCGGGCAGGAACGCGCTCAGGCTGCACTTCCGCAGGGACGAGTTGTTCGGCTGGCTCAGCCCTGCGGGGGGACAGAGGCCACAGTGTCACCGACAGCCCCGGCTGCACAGGGGTGATCGGTACTCATCACTGAGAACACCGGCACGGGGATGCTGCCCTGTCCCCCTGGTACTGACACCCCCAGGGCAGGGATCCTCACCCCGTGCCCTGTTCTGTGAATCCTGGCCATGTCCTGCTCTGGCACAGGGATCCTGTTCTGTTCTCCATTCCCGGTGTCCTGGCACAGGGACACTGTACCATGCCCTCCTCCCTTCCCACCACCAGATCCAAGACCTCGGTGACAATGCCATCCCGGGTCACCCACGGCCACAGCGCCAGCACTCACCGGGAGCGAGGGGTTTGGCAGCAGGAAGGGCTGATCCAGGTGAGAACACCTCGCCCTTGGAGCCCGGCTGGCAGATCATGTGGTTGGTGACCAGGTGGCTGTACAGGATGTCCCTCGTGGTGGAGATGAAGCCACAGCTGTGGCAGACACCTGAGGGGACAGGACAGGGCACTGGGCTGAGCGGGCAGGGCAGGAAGGACAAGCGCCCATCCCTGGAAGTGCTGGAGGGGATGGGGCTGTCCCCACAGGACACTCACCATTCAAGGTGTCCGTGTGCACCTTCAGGTGCCGCTCACAGTTGGCTTTGGTGGTGAAGGCGGACAGGCAGATGAGGCAGACGAATGGCCGCTCTCCTGCCGGACAGACGGACACTCAGTGCTGAGGGGACGGGGACAGGGACTATGGGGACACCCACAGGGACACCCCACAGGGCCAAACTCCCTCTGTCTCTCCACGTCAGAGATGGGGGAAGACCTACAAGTGAGCTGTGCCAAACCAGTGACCCAGCTGGGGAGAACCTCATCCCGCTGGTCAATGTGCTCAGCCCTGCATCCTCCCTCCCTCCATCCTCCCTGCCCCTCAGCTGGGCTGACCCTCCTCTAACTGATGCTGCCACCCCAAAGCCTGCAGAGGAGGGTCATGCTGTGCCATGCCATGCCGTGCTGTGCCGTGCCGTGCCATACCGCTATGGCTCCGCATGTGGATCTCCAGGGAGCTGGCACTGGGACAGCTCTTCTTGCACTGTGGGAAGGGGCAGACCCTCTCGTTGGGATACGTCTCCTTGGGCTTCTCGTCCAGGGCCGGGGAGCCGGCGCCGGCGCTCTGCCGGCTGGCACAGTAGTACATCAGGTGGGCCTGGAGGTTGCGCTCGCTCCGGTACCAGATCCCGCAGTCCTTGCAGGGGAACACGTCCTCT